TCGCGGAGCGAACTGCTTAATTGATTGAAAAAGAAAACCACGAGTCTTCTCCAGAGGCCAGCATTCTCCACTCCACTCCACTCCACTCCACTCATCTTCATTCCCATTCAAAACTCTCGGCTGCCGACGCTGCGACGTTCTATGGAAATGACCATTTCCGATTTTGTGTCAGTTAGCGGTAAACAGAATCTGGTATTGGGAACACCTTAAGCTGCATTCGGCAGGCGGCAGGGGGGCCATTGGACCTGGACCTGGACCTGGACCTGGCCATTGCCAGTACATCTCCACTAGAGCTCCCTGGACCATTGTCTGTGTGGATGGGATGGCGATGGCGATGGCGCCACCAGGATGTGGCCCATCGAATGCCAACTCTACGAGTTCACACACAAGCAGACAGTCTCCAATCACTAGTCCGAGTCTAATATGCTAATCTATGGTTAGTTTGCGTTAATCAGTCAAACTTTCACAAAAAATGTAACCGTTTTGTCACACAGCAGAGAGTGGAGGCCCCGAAAGTGTTGTTGGCTTGCAAATAACCATTAAAAATGCTGATGGTGGCCATTAAATGCAACAATTTAAACTATTTTAAATAGATGAAGCTTTACATTGTGTGGATCATTAGAGACCCCTCCAGCAAGAACTTTCTATAGCAAACTTTAAACCTGTTTCTATGATCCAATTCTGATAATTTGTTATCCCGCCCGCCCATTACGTAGATCAATGCGAAGCAGCCGCCTCGACGATCCCCGGGGATCGCATCGCACGCGCTCCATCATCATGTATGGGCGTAGTGAGTTGGCCAGCACCTCGGGGGCCAAGAGCAGCTTTCTGCAGGAGTCCAGCGAGTCGGCCAAGGTGCTGGCCGAGGCGGCCAAGAAGGATGTGCAGCGGATCAGCAACAGTGTGCAGGCCCAGATCGAGCAGCTCTTCACGGACGTGGCCAAGGACGCCACCAGCAGCTTCGATGTCACCTGCCTGGGCTCCCTGCCGCTAAAAGACAAGGTGACGAGTCTCCAGGGACTGCAGGAGCCCCTGAGGCAACTGTACCTCAGTGAGGTTACCAAGAAGGTGAGTAAATGGTTCAAGCAAAAAGGCATTCTGGAATCTCAAATGGGGCTATGGTATATCCTGCAGAGGCTCAGCTCGGGATCGTTGGACATTTGTGCCACAGGATTGCGGGTGAAGATCAGCTCTGTGCCAATCCCAAAAGGAGGCAGCGGCCCGGACGAGAGTGAGGCCCACATTACTCCATTTCACAACATTGCCGTGTGGTCGGCGGTGAAGTTTGTTATCTCCGCCGACGATGGCGGAGCAGCCTTCTTGCCACTGATCACCGATCCCGAAAATATAGACAAGACTGCCCTGTTTCAGCCTCTAAGGTGAGTCTCAGATGGCATTGAAGCTCGAAGCCAGGACCGTAATCAAACTCCAATCCTGTAATCCCCAGTTCAAGTGAGCAATTGGCTGTGGAGCACAGCATACACGTCCATGCACCGATCTTTGCGGTTGTCATGCGTTCCGCCAGCTCCCCCAAGATCCTCGAGTGCCACGGCTTCATCTGCAAGAGCACCGAGGACGCCATCGTGATAGCGGCCACCCTCTACCAGAGCCTGATGGCCCACGTCAGCACCAGCTCGCACCGCAGCACGAAACGCCGGACGCCGCGCCAGCAGAACGGAGTCAGCTGCATCAGCATCGCCAGCAGCTCGGCCATGACCAGCTCCAACTACCTGTCCCGCTCCCAGATCACGCCCAGTGCCAGTGGGCGACGCAGTTCCTTTCGCGCGGGCACCGGAGTATCCGGCACGCCTTCCCGCTCCGTCCGCAAGAAGAGGGTCTCCAGCAGCTCGCTCAGCTCCAACAGTAACGTCATCAACGAGGCCGCAGAGGTGGAAACGTCCACGGAGGAGCGCAAGCGCAAGTCCCACAAGTCCAAGCGCGCCCCTCCAGTGCCCACAACGGTGCCCGGTTCCGGATACAAAGGAAGCCCTTCGCGCAATGGCAGCATTATCTGCAGCAACGGACACGTGAACCGCCTGCACCAGCATGGCCATCACAGCAAAAAGCCAGTGGCAGCCGGAGCATCCAGTGGCGCCTACAAGGGTGCGGATCTGGTGGGGGCTGTTGGTTCAGGCGGTGGCGGCGGCGAGGCGGCCAGCGGGGACATTCTGACGCGCGTGGCCATACCAAGATCCGGCAGCTTCCTGAACACCGGAGGTCTGACCCGCTACAAGTCGAGAGCGGCACGCCGTCACTCGGGCAAGTTGGGCGGCGGTGGTGGAGGAGGGTGAGTATTATCACCAAGCTCTTGGGGCCAGGAAGGCCACGCAGCTGGACTGTGGAGTGCTCTCCTGGCCTGGGTGCTGGTGGTAGATTGATTGCATTTTGGGTGAGAAGGTTTGGTTTGGTTGATTGGCATCGTTTGAATTGTGCTTCTAGTTCCCCACTTGGTTTCAGCGAGCTGTTCAATGAATTTCGTCTGCACGAGAACCTCCACTCCCTGGACGACATTCTATATGCCATTATCGATGCCGACGGCATGTCGTTCAACGACCTAAAGCCCATCTACAAGGAGTTCCTGCTCAAGCTGGCCGTCACTCTTACCCAGGACGAGCTCTTTCAGCGCTCCAAGAATATCATGCGCCGCCAGAAGAAGAAAAAGCAGAAGCGCAAGGCCAGCGTCAATGGGTCACAGGTGAGCGGAAAGACGATGTCTATAGGATTGCGTGGAAAAATTAAATGCAAATGTAATCTCATCCATCCGCAGAAGAAGTCGAAGAGCAGCTTCTTCGGCACAAAGAGCTTGAAGAAAATGTTCCAGCTTGGACAGTTTCGCTCGTGCCGCGCCAAGTTGGAGAAGTCGAGCCCACGACCCAAGGAGGCGGCCACCCTCGACAGCCAGGGCAAGCGCAAGATTAGTGCCCCCATCATTATCGGACCCCCCATCAGCCACGTCCAGCAACAGCAGCAGCATCAACGGAATCGGGCAGCCACCAGTGGCTCAGATGTATCCGTGGTGCGGAATGAGCACGCCTTGCAGGGGCTCAACAGGAACAGCAGCAGCGGGTAGGTTCTAAGGGGAAAATTCTGTCCCATGTTTTCCCTAATACTCCCATTCATTGTGCAGATACGTCTCCTGCTCCGAGTGCAGCTACGACTCCGAGTCTTGCACCTGCGCCTCGGCCGATCGCTGCTACTGCAGCCTCCGCACAGAGCACCTGAACCACAAGCTGCGGCAGAAGAACGAGCGCACTATGGCCATGGCCAACTCGAGGAAGCCCTCGGGGACAGTCAACCCTGTGGTCAATGCCGGAACAGTAGCCAGCAACCGCCACTCGCTGATCTCGTGCAAGTCGGATGACAAGTGCTACTGCTCCATGGTCGAAGAGGAGCCGGCCAGCACTCTGGAGCACGACTCGGCAAACTCCCGCTCGGAGACGACCACCTCGTGCGACTCCGACAGCTGCATCAGCGCCAGCAAGTGCTACTGCAAGCGCACCCATCGCCGGCAGCGGGCCTTGGCAGCGGCAGCGATCAGCGAGGACTCCCTTTCCCAGCAGCGCAAGGCTCCCAGGCCGGGTGGGGGGGTGGCTCGGAAGGGTAAGCCCTCCGAGAAGCTGGGCCTGGACTACGAGCTCTTCAGCATCAGCGGCAACAGCAAGCCCGTCCAGCCGCACGAGGCGCTGAGCGTGAAGAAGAGCGTAGAGGCAGCTGCCGTCTTTGCGGACATGAAGCTGAGCCAGACGACGGACATCAAGAGCCTGTGCCCGCCCATGCAGATCCAGAAAGCGATGCGGACCGCCAACGGCAGTTGCCGTTCATATGCCTCCTCCCGGAAGTCGTCTTACCGGGCGCGCGAATCCTTTAGCACGGACCGGGTGGGTGCCAATGGTCTTTCCATGGCCATGCCCCTGGGACCTGGTAGCGTGGGAGCTGCGCAGAAGGCGTGCAGCGCCGACAATCTGCTGATCAATATCAAGGCCATTGAGAAGGCGGCCTCCATCCGGAGCAACGTCAGCCGGAGCCGCATGGGCAGCTACCAGTCGATGCGGGCTGTGAGCGCCTCTCTCGAGGACTCGTTGGGGTATTTGCCATAGATGTTGAATCTAATACTCTCGAACCCGGGTTAATTATGATGTACATTGTACATAGCACATAAGCATACACATAAAACATACACATAACATACATACTAATACTCGATCTGCTTAAACATATACTCGTACTCCAGCATACGGCTTATGTTTCCCAAGACAATTACTCGCATCGCCGAAGCATCGTTTAATTATCTTGCGAAACGTAATCTATTTCTAGCCTTAAGTTCCTACTAATAGAACATCAAGTGTGAATTTATCTGTAAGATCTAAATCGTAGAATATCGATGTGCAATATAAAGACCATCCGAAGGGGACGTGAGTCCCACTTAATCAACGCAGTGCAATATTTATAAAGATTTCTAAGAATATATTGAAAATAAAAACTATTTTATATATACTATTTCCGTCGATCTATGCATAAACACTTACAGGGAAAGCCCGTTTGGCGAAACCACCACATCCATTCACTATTATGTCCCAGTGGGGAGAAACACAGAGATTGAGATAACTCTGGCTGTAGAGTCATCACTGTAAATATTACTTGTCGAGGTATTATGCTTCGTCATTCTATTTTGACCACGGGATATGGTCAGAGACTGCTTATCAGAACCGGAGGGTCAGGGTCAGGGTCAAACAGCCAGAAGCGAAAGCCCGCAAACAGGCACGTTTGGGATCGAACAGATGTGAGACGAGCCGAAGCTTTGCCTCTCAATTGCCACACGTCAAAGCGGGTCGAGGAGTGATTAGATTACGGATGAGTACGAGGGTGCTGGTGCCAACGTCGACGCTTAGATGACATGCCAGCTGTTGGCGGCAGGCTATTGGCAGGCCCTTCCCTCGGCTATCCAGAGCGGTAGCTTACGTGGAGAGTGCGGACGAGACGAAATTTATTTCATTGAGATCTGCCGACCAGTGCTGACCGCCAGAGATGACCACCTCCGCCGATAGTGTTTTCGTTGCCCGCTCGGATGGTATTTCCGCCGAAGGAGTTAGGGATCAGTATGCCGATGGCAAGGCGGCCAAGGTATGGGAGATCTTCATCGGAGACAAGAACTCGCGTACGGACAACTACAAGAACTTCCTGATCGATATGCTGCGGCAGAAGGGATGCAAGCGTGTCCTGGACGTGGCCTGTGGTACCGGGTAAGTGGACTGCACAGCCATCCCATCCCCATTCCTATCTTAGCTTACTTTTCTTTACCATTCGCCCAGTGTGGACTCGCTAATGTTGGTGGAAGAGGGCTTCGAGGTGGTGTCCGTCGATGCCTCCGACAAAATGCTGAAATACGCTCTCAAGGAGCGCTGGAACCGCCGCAAGGAAGCCGCCTTTGAAAACTGGGGTATGTCTGGGACTGCTTTATTATTATTCCCTGCTTGGCCTGGTTTCTGACTGACCCTTCCCAAAACCATTTGCAGTTATCGAAGAGGCCAACTGGCTGACACTGTACGACGACATCCAGGACCAAATAAAGGATGGCTTCGACGCCGTCATCTGCCTGGGCAACTCCTTTGCCCACTTGATGGACGGCTTTGGGGATCAGCGTGAGCACAAGCAGGCGATCGGCAACTTTGAGAAGTGCCTTAAGCCAGGCGGTGTCCTGCTGATCGATCATCGCAACTACGACAACATCTTGGAGACAGGATCCACTCCCGCCAAGAGCATCTACTATAACGTGAGTTCAAAAACCAGCACAGATCTGCCAGATCATCATAGTGCCAATTAAAAACTATTAAATGACACATTCATTTGAAAACAGAGAAAAATTGTTCGTCATCCTCAATAGTTTCATTGATTACGATGTCTGCTGATCTTATTTTGTGTTATATTACGTGGAATCAAAATCAATTTCATCGCTCATTCATCTCCCATTAATACATCATCATTCGCGACTTCATTATCAGTCCCATACCCTGACAACTGATAGGCAGACGTTGAATTCTATTAATTTAATCGCCTTTCCGAATGACTTGCAGACGAGCCACACGGCGGACATCAAAACCTCCGTCCTGTTCTACTGCGGTAAGCCATCTCTGGTGTCCATGGATTACCTGATCGCTGGCAACAAGCTGACCAGCGAGTTCCGCCTCTCCTACTATCCCCACGAGCTGAAGCGCTTCCAGGAGATCCTCAGTGAGATCTTCTCGGCCAAGGCCAAGCACCAGCTGTACGGAGACTTCAAGGAGATGAGCCAAGTGAAGAATCCAGCCTTCTACATACACTTAATTGAGAAGCCCAAGGTTTAGGTTTAAGCATTTAGTTTGTATTCACATAATTCCACAAACACACATCTAAATATAAAGTTCGTTCGATTTACATTTACACATGTATGTACATATAGTGTATGTGCGAGTATGATTCCTGGTGGTATGCGATGCTTCGTTGTTCAGTTTCTATATCAGTATGCAGTATCTGCCTACTATGGAGGCGAAGCAGAGAGTCACCATGGCAGCCTCAATCAGGAAGGGAAATCGAGACTTGACGAAGTTAAACATCCCCGTGTAGATGTTGGAAAGGGTTGACAGTAAGGTCGATGTCATTTCTGCTTCTCGGACAGCACCGATTCGATCGATTCGAAGTATTCTCTGCTAAAGTTCGTTTCTGACTGAAGCCCGATAGATGAATGCCCAACTGAAACGCAAAAGAAATGGAAAGGCGCAAAGTAAAAAAACATTAGCCTTGCAAATGATTTTCATTACGTTTGCTTTCGAGGGAAGGCGATCGAAGTGCGAGTCATGTCTACATTCCAGCCAATGAATGTATCTATTCAGACGCTACTCATTAATAAATGGGCAGGGATATCAGTGCTTAGAACTAGAACACAATGTAGCACAAATTATTCGAACAGTATGTTATTTATTAATTAATACGTTTCAGTTCCTCTACAAAATCACATAAATGTGTTATCAAAAATGAGCTGAACTAACTTATACGCCAACAATCTTGTTTATACGCTTTGCATCGGTTATTTGCCGTTCAATCTCTCCAGCCAGTTGGGTCAGGATTTCAGTTATGGTGCGGTGCTGTTTCTCTGGCAACTTGTAGACATCTTTCTTCAGTTCTTCCTGGCTGTTGGCGATGTGATAGCGCTGTTTGTTCAACGTCTTCTTAGCTTTATCCAGTTCGGCAGCCATACTCTTTGTGGTTTTGTGAATTCGTTCTACCTCTTGGGAAAACTCGCGCTCGGCCACGACACTGTTGGGCAGAGCGTTGTTGGCTTTTTGCATCAGACTGTGGCACTTGCGCACCAGCAATTCCTGGTTGTCGCTGATTTCCTCAAAACGCTCGGCCAGCTTGTGGGCCCCCTCGCTTATTATCTCACGCTCATGCTCCAGGTCCTGGATTTCGCGCAGTTGTTGCTCCTTTTTCAGTATGATTTGATTGATATGCTTCGCAAACTCGGCACGGACGAGGACGTGGCGCTTGAGGTACTGTTCGCGCAACACTTCAATGGCCTGGTTTAGTAGTTCGTATCCCTCGTGAGGGGACGCCGAGGACATCTTGTTGGCGAGAATAGGTTGGTTGACATTGCGCTGCAATAAAGTTTTAATTTTGTCAAGGAATGAAGGTCCAGACTCTTGCTGATCCACATCGCAGGCTCGATGCTTCTTGTCACTGGGGGCAACCAACAGCTGGGCATCGATGACCAGCTTTAGGCTGATCACTGCACGGTTGCCTAACAGAAGCACCACACCAGCTGGCAGTTGTAGTTGGGCAATGCCGCAGACAGCATTGATTTGCTCGGCGGAGTCAATTTTTGTGCACAGGATGTACTCGGCCTTGGATGATGCCGCCAATTCCAGTCTATCCTCCTCCGACTCACTGTCCAGATAGCGCTGCAGTTCAGAGATGAAGTTGACAGTGACTACGTGTAAACCAGCATTGTGATAGGCAAAGTAGCGCAGCTCGTTGATAATATCTTTTTTCAAGTATATGGGACAGCTGTACGTGTCCTTTGGTCCAGTATTTGATGCGCCAGAAAGACCCAACTCGAGCTCGACCGTTTCAAGGACATGTATGACAAACTCAGCGGGCTCTATGAGAATAAAGTCATCTACTTCGTTGAAGGAATGCTCGGCGGCCTCGGCATCCATTAGGAGTGCATGGTGGAGCTTTCCATTCGACTCGGCAATGACTATAGTGGGAGGCAGCGAAGGAATGATCATGATCGAGCAAGACTCTAGCCCGTAGTTATCCATTTTCTGAGGTGTTATGGTTATGGGTCCCTGGAGACGGGTAATATCCGAGTCCAGGCTAGTAAGCACAATGTAGATGTTTCCATTCTCTCGCAGCACAACAATAGGCCATTCAATCTTTTCCTGCTTTGCGGGTTTCCCTCCCAGCGTTTTGTTCCGTTGGTTAAGAGTCGTCTCGTTGGCCGCACATCGCGACTTTTTAGCTGGAGCAATATCAAAGTCAACGGCCACTTCCCCGAAGTCCGTAAGCGAAGTATTGGCTCCATTTTTCATGGTAAGAGGACCAACTTGCCACACGTGTCGCAGCTTCGAGTGATTGTACATTCGGATAGTGTTGTTGTTCAGCAGCACCAGGAGAGTCGAGTCCGATACTGAGTTTGGATGCCAGCGCACTTGTCGCACCTCCAGATGGTTGTTGTTCTGGAACAAAAGAGAATCCAGACAGTATGTGCGACATGTGATTTGTTTCTTTCCATCCATGAAGTAGCCATCTAGACCCCAGCGGCGGGGTAGCTCCAAAATGCAAACACCACATGGTCCACTAAGCGCCACCAAGGAGCACTCATTTGATACTGTAACACGATCTACGTCCAGAATTATCGGGATCGAAGGTACGAGCGTCTGATAATTCACTTTGGCATCCTGCTCCGCCACTGTCAGCGGTGACCGCCAATTCATTACAAGCAAGCAGCACTCGTTCGCATCCCATGCAAATAGCAAATCGTCGCTGCAGTCCAACAGATTTTGTGTTTTCTGCACAATGGACAGGCCATTGCATATTTTTTCAAATAATTTAGTTTTACTTAATTCAAAACAATCTAGCGACATGGTTGACATGATATACGGTCTGACACTAAATATATACCGAAATATACTGCCTCATTTTTAAAATATACCGTAAATATACTGCCGAACTCAACTTCTAATATACATATCCCTTGTTTTTGATATTCCATCGAATATTACTAGCTATATAGAACCCTCAGGCCTGCCCACATAATTTTATACGATTGATGAATCAATTTTCTACTTATCTGGCTTAATTTTAACACTTGCTTTTATTGAATTTCTATATAACGTTGAAAATGCAATTTAATAGATTGATGAAATTGACAAAATATGGTTGACATGATATACGGTCTGACACTAAATATATACCGAAATATACTGCCTCATTTTTTAAATATACCGTAAATATACTGCCGAACTCAACTTCTAATATACATATCCCTTGTTTTTGATATTCCGTCGAAAATTACTAGCTATATAGAACCCTCACGCATGCCCACATAATTTTATACGATTGATGAATCAATTTTCTACTTATCTGGCTTAATTTTAACACTTGCTTTTATTGAATTTCTATATAACGTTGAAAATGCAATTTAATAGATTAATGAAATTGACAAAATATGGCTGACATGATATACGGTCTGACACTAAAAATATACCGAAATATACTGCCTCATTTTTAAAATATACCGTAAATATACTGCCGAACTCAACTTCTAATATACATATCCCTTGTTTTTGATATTCCATCGAATATTACTAGCTATATAGAACCCTCAGGCCTGCCCACATAATTTTATACGATTGATGAATCAATTTTCTACTTATCTGGCTTAATTTTAACACTTGCTTTTATTGAATTTCTATATAACGTTGAAAATGCAATTTAATAGATTGATGAAATTGACAAAATATGGTTGACATGATATACGGTCTGACACTAAATATATACCGAAATATACTGCCTCATTTTTTAAATATACCGTAAATATACTTCCGAATTGAACTTCTAATATACATATTCCTTGTTTTTGATATTCCGTCGAACGTTACTAGCTATATAGAACCCTCAGGCCTGCCCACATAATTTTATACGATTGATGAATCAATTTTCTACTTATCTGGCTTAATTTTAACACTTGCTTTTATTGAATTTCTATATAACGGTGAAAATGAAATTTAATAGATTAATGAAATTGACAAAATATACCAATATATACCGATATATCGTTTATATTGACCTCAAAAAATACCGAAAAGTATTAAAAATACCGTAAGTATTTTTTATACCGACAAAATATACAAAAAAGATCATAAAATCGGTCATTGAATTCAAAAATATACAGATTTCGCTAGATAGTTCACTAGGTCAGGGTTTTCCAGGAGGAATCCAACTGTAAAACTCATAAGATGCAAGCTAAAAATTATAACGAAAATGTTTTAATTGTGTCGGGATCAGAACGGAAGAGGACTGCTTTATACCCTGCTAATTTTATAATTAATTAATTAATAAGGTTCATTATTTTCTCTTTCAAAACCCGTGTGCAGTTTTTGTGTAACTGGTGAAATTAAATAAATTAATGCCCTTTTTCTGGTTTTTAGATGATAGATTATATTAAATTTTCGAGCTTTGTACCATGCTTTGACTTTAGCTTTTGGGGCATGCCGCCTTTTTTATTAGCTTATATTAATTTCACATTGCTTTAACCTTACATATTCCAATATTGGCAGACTGTTCACATTCTTTTTTGGATTTCCAATTTTGGAACTGCTTTAAGTTTCATGGTTATATCTTCAACATAATAAAGATCTTCAAACTTAAAGCTGGTCTTAAACCTATAGTTTCTCAACAGTTTGGCCAATGTGACTTTGGCTGATATCAGAGCATATCTCCAGCCTAAAACCAAACGAATATCATTGATAAACATTAATTGCGAAAGGTACTGTCTGCCAAAATCTTACCAATGCAATTCCGAATACCCTTTGTGAAGGGTATAAAGGCGTATGGGTGCTTGTCCCGAGTATTGTGAGGCAAGAAATTGTCGGGATTGAAGGATTCAGCCTCGGGTCCCCATATCTTCTTGCTTCGGTGCATGTGGAACATGTTGATGGCGATCTGCACTCCTTTGGGAACCACAATGCCATTCGTCAGTGTTAAATCCTGCGACGTTTGCCGCGATACAACTGGAACGGGCGGTATAACTCGCATTGACTCATTTAGAACCAGATCCAGGTACACCATTTGCTGGGTGTCTTCATAAGTGACCTCAAAGTCACCGCTATTGGGAAAGAGACTTTTGATTTCCTCAAACGCCCTCTCCTGGTACTGTGGAAACATGGCCAGCAGCATAAGGACATAATATACAGTATTGGCGGTCGTCTCAAAAGCGCCAAACACAATTACATTGGACTCGTCCTCAACATTTTTCCAGTCGAACACACCGCGCCTTAGTAGGTCTGTTGCCAGGTTGAGGAAAATGTTCTTATCCTTTGACTTGATGGAGTCCTCCGTGTCCTCAGACAATCTTTTTTGAATTAGCTGAAATGACGATTCAAGTTATGGTATATTTACTGAAATTTTCCCCATTATTCGCACCTTCCTTATAAACGCCCGGATCTCCGTCTTGGCTCGATAATAGTTGGCCTCCTTTCCCGACAGTTGGCGAGCCCAACGACTGTTCAGCCATGGCGAGAAGCACATATCTGTCATGGTTTCTAGACAACTGTTAATGCATAGCAGCATATCCCCGACCGCCCCGGACTCACCATTGATAGCGCTCCATAAGGGAGTTGCTCTTGAAGTTCTCCTCACTTTTCACATCGCACCCCATTGTGGTTTCTGTACTTGAATACAATATAAGTATATGTAAGAAGGGGAATGTCTATCTTCACCGGCACTTTTACTACTCTACTCACGAGTTGCAATGCCCAAGGTCAAGCTCTGCAGTAGCGGAATCAAATCCTTCTCACCGCCGCCTGGCAATGCGTCCAGCTGGCTGAGTAGCTGCGCCGTCTCTTTGTTGAAAATGGGCAGAAAACTGAGCAACACCTTGTGGCCGAATGCCGGATTCAGCAGCTTGCGATGAACACTCCAGCGGGGATCTAGACGAAGACCACATTGAAGTAACTCCGAGCAACACTTAGGCTCCGCATCCACGCACCCTTTAAACTGAATAGTCCCACGCCAGCTCCATCGTCCACGGCCTTGTAAATGATGCCCTTGTTCACGCAGTGAGGCGAGGTCAGGATGTCCTGCACCACTTGCGGCTCACTAACGATCATGAACGGAATTGGTCCCAGCCACGAGAAAATTGTTGGGCCATGCTTTGCCATATATATCCCAAATTCATTCAGTATATCTGTCATTGATACAAAATTAGTTCCTCTGATCGATCAGTGACAAATGTAAGTCCTTGAGTACCTTCCCTGCGCATCAATTTGTGCGCCATTCCCAAAAATGGGTATCCGATTGGTCCGGGAATCTTAAGGGTAAGTAAGTAAAATCGACGCCTACTCCACAGAAAATAAATCCACAGGACGAATAGCAATCCGCACCACAGTGTCCACGTTAGCATGTTTTATCCTTAGGAACGCACTATCCACTCAAAGCACTTATTGCCAAATACTTCAAATAATATTGATGAAATTTTCGACCGATCACTGTGAAGTCCGACAACAATTTGATTATCCAATTTTGAGGCAATTGAGTTTTTATATGCCGGACGCGACTACTTTTTTGGGACGCCTTCGATCCGTGTGTATTGTCGTAGTGCTCTATGGTGGCCAGGTGACTCCCAGAGTAAATATCGAAAGAAAGCAGCCGATCCACAATTCCAATCGCAGTGCGAGCAAAGCTCCAATGAACCGCACATAGCAAGCCATTTTTAATAGGGCTTATCATGGAAGCCGCGCATACAAATAGCTATAATTTTAACTAATGGCTAGCAGTGACACGCCAAACACTTTGGGAATACGAATAGATCTCCCATTCAAGCAATAACAAAACGTCATCGATTGGTCAATGGGCGTTCGGATCGGTGATAATTATTGCGTTGCAAAAACCACCAAAAATTCTGTATAGCTGACTTTTGTTGGTATCGCGATACAAATCAAACCTCGCGTGAAGAGTAGCGCCCAGAAGCGGATGATATACTCAGTAATTAATAGAAATATTTCATTAAAAAAATTTGTAATTCATAGAGTAACCTCTTATTATAGTTTGTAAAGAGATGCGGCATTGTGAACCCTGTAATAAATCCGGTTCTAAGAAATCTTTCGCCAAAAGGTTCCGAGATTTTACTACACAAAAAGTTACACAAATGTTTAAATTAGCTTCTGATAAATTACTCATAGAGGCAGTGGTATATTATTTCTTTCATTTATTTCATTTATATTTATATTTCTTATAATAGTTCTAGCAGGTTCCAATAGTAAGAGTTCGTTTCTTCTTCTTACACATAATTACTCAAGTTCTCTTTTGAATTTGCAGCTTTGGCACCGTTTTGAGTTTTATGGTTACATCTTCAATAAAAACAAGATCTTCAAACTTAAAGCTGGTCTTATAGCTGAAGTTCCTCAACAGTTTCGCCAATATGACTTTCACTGAGATCGAAGCATATCTCCAGCCTAAAACCAAACGTAAATACCTGATGACACATTGATTGCAAAAAGAAATGTCTGCTAACGTCTTACCTATACAATTCCGAATACCCTTTGTGAAAGGTATAAAGGCATATGGGTGCTTCTCGCCCCCAGTATTGTGCGCAAGGAAATTGTCTGGATTAAAGGTTTCCGCTTCCGGTCCCCAGATCTTCTTACTGCGGTGCATATGGAAGATATCAATCATGATCTGCACTCCTTTGGGAATCACAGTCCCACTCGACAGAGTCAGATCGCCTGACGTTTGCCGCGATACAAGTGGAATTGGCGGAATTACTCGCATTGACTCATTTATAACTAGATCCAGGTACACCATTTGCTGAGTGTCTTCATATGTGACCTCGAAATCCCCGCTATCGGGGAAGAGACTTTTGATTTCTTCAAACACTTTCTCCTGGTATTGGGGGAACATGGCCAGCAACATGAGAACGTAGTACACGGTTTTAGCGGTTGTCTCAAAAGCACCAAACACAACTTGGTTGGACTCATCCTCTACATTTGTCAAATCGAATACACCACGCTTAAGAAGGTCCGTTGTTACGTGGAGAAAAATGTTCTTATCCTTCGACTTAATGGAATCCTCCGTGTCCTCAGCTAATCTTTTTTGAATAAGCTGAGATGCAGAGATACGTTATTATAAATTTAATGAAAAACACTTCATTACTCAGACCTTCTTTAAGAACGCCCGGATCTCCGTCTTGGACCGATGGTAGTTTTTCTCCCTGCCCGTTAGCTGGCGGACCCACTTGAAGTGGAGCCATGGCGAGATGCACATATCTGTGATGGTTTCCAGACAACTGTTAATGCATAGCAGCGGATTCCTGACCATATCTGACTCACCAGTGATAGCTCTCCACGATGGAGTTGAAGTTCGCCTCACTTTTCACATCCAATCCCATTGTGGTTTCTGTGGAAATTTAACATCTAACATCTAATTAAAATCTAACAAGGGAGCTTTTGACACTTACGAGTTGTTATGCCCATCGTAAAGTTTTGCAGAAGCGGAATCAAATTGTACTCCCCCTTGCTCGGCAAATCATCAAACTGGCTGAGTAGCTGCGCCGTCTCTTTGTTGAAAATGGGAAGAAAACTGAGCAATACCTTGTGGCTGAATGCCGGATTCAGTAGCTTGCGATGAACACTCCAGCGGGGATCTAGACGAAGATCACATTGAAGTAACTCCGAGCAACACTTAGGCTCCGCATCCACGCACCCTTTATGCTAAATAGTCCTACGCCCATTCCATCGTCTACGGCCCTGTAAATTATGCCTTTGTTGACGCAGTGAGGCGAGGTCAGGATGTCCTGCACCACTTGCGGGTCACTAGCGATCACAAAGGGAATAGGGCCCAGCCATGACATTATTGTTGGGCCATGCTTTGCCAGATAAATTCCAAATTCATTCAGAATATCTGCCATTAATACAAAATTATTTCCTTTGATCGATCAAATGCAAATGCAAATTCTTGAGTACCTTCCCTGTGGATCAATTTGTGCGCCATTCCCAAAAATGGGTATCCGATAGGTCCGGGAATCTTAAGGGTGAGTAGGTAAAATCGGCGCCGACTCCACAGAAAATAAATCCACAGGACGAATAATAGTCCGCACCATAGTGACCATGTCAACATGCTATATCCTTTTGAATGCTATATCCACTAAAATCACTTATTTACTCGCGTTTAGTCCGCCTAATTTTGACCCGAACGCTGCGAAGTTCACCAACAATTTGACTATTCAAATGAAAGCCCGTCGAGTTTTTATAGGCTGAGAGTTATGGCTATTTTTGGAAGCTGTCGATCTGTGTGCACAAGTATTGACACGCTTATTTTTCTCCATTAGGGCCATGTGATGCCCGCCGCAAAAGTTGAAAGAAGCCCAAGCGAAGCAAAGTTCGTAACAAATGTTGTTATCTTTTTTTTTTTTTTTTTATCAGAATAACCCATCATTCAAGTTTATGGAGAGATTCCGAATTCCGGAATGTGCTTAGTTCCGCTTCGTAAGAAATATCAAGCAAATATCTGCGTCATCTTCGTCTTTTGGTAGATTGGTAATGTATCTATGTAAGTTATGTATGTATTCGTATTATTTTGATTCTCATTTGATTTAATTATGATGCACACGATAAATAGTATTATTTTCTAGCTTTGAATCTTTAGCATGATCTTATAAGCAAATAAGGTCTACTACAAGCTCGGGTAATAAAAGCAATCAATTCCACTGCGAAAGATTCGAAGTACTCGCCGTGAGCAATGATAACTTTTACATTCGGAATTCCAATGTGTGTAGTCTCTATCATAGCTGAGATCAATGACCTGGCATCAGTTCTCAACAAATTTTGGGGTCACACCTATTAATCATCTTGACATACATCTTCTTGTACAACCCGAAGTTTTTGGCCGTGGTCGTGGATAACAAAAGTGAAAACTGGTTGGCGCCGAGAGTAATCTCTGGGAATCTTTTTCACGTAATGAAAGTTTACATATCTTGTCAACAGAACAATTAAATTGAAGCCCACAAAAACGAATAACACACATTTACGAGCATAAAGTAGTTATAGTTATTACAAAATTTAAATCTTGGAAAGTGTGGATTCTTCATTGAAAGCACATAATAAAGTAAATAAAAATGCAAAGCTTTAAAGTGTAAGTATGTGCATATGTACCTATGGACATGTGCTGTCTATCACAGATCATTATAACATCATATTATTTTAGAGGGCTTGTTTGTTTAGTTAGTAATTTATTAATTACTATTATTAAAACTGGGCCTTACGTTCCATATGAGTGTCTATAAAATACTCAACAATTCGAACATGAATCCCATTCTGGAATAAATTCGAACATGGGTCGACAACAGCCAGTGGCATATCAAGTAATCATCCTGCTGATATTCGTGAGCTATTCAGTGGAAGTTCAATACGAATTCGTCTCGGATAATGAATATGTAATGAGTGATTGCCAGGATAAGCCTAAGGGAGCTCTCGGTTTTGATTCCTTGTTCGATATGTCCGAACTAACTTTAAATATGAGTGATGACGGAGTACAAATACAAGGAAATGTAACTTCTATTTGGGATGTCAAACCAACGGACCGAATACAGGTAATATAAGTTGATTCAACAATTTAAAATCAAATAAAAATAAAGGTACCCTAAATTTTAGGGTTCTTTCAGCGTCCTCTATTTTGACCGCGGTAGTTGGCAGCCAACCATACTCAACATAGTTACGAAGGAATTCTGCGATGTAATGTACGACGAGAGACAATTCTGGTACAAGTTCTGGACCAAACACGTAATAAATTCAAAAGACGTAAAGGATAAGTGCTTGAATGTGCCTGGGGTATGTACATACATATGCATATAAATGCTGTTTTTATTCCCATTTTCTTGCAGACGAAATTAGTAATGGAAACATTTCTTACAACTGCTGTGTTTGGGTTCGATGTACCACTAAAAGAAGGGCGCCACAAGTTTAAGATGGATTTCCGTGCATTCGACGAGAATAACGTACAGCGTGAAAATAGCATTTGTTTTGAAATGACGGGCGAATTTTATAAGATTTAAATCAAACTATAAAATAATATAGTGCCCCTGTGCACACGCTTGCTTGATTTCATGATAGTATCAAAAGCAACAAAAAAAAATACCCTCGATGGGCCCCGATTTATCAAGAATTTACACGAAAAAAGTATTTGGCCCCCATATGCTTTTGTAGTATAAAATATCGGGAATAAAATATCATGACCACGACACTCCAAAACTTTTTTTCTTGTATTGGAGTAATTACAAGGACACTGGATCATGGAGTACTTTAACAAAATATGTATTAACTAATGCTAATTAAGACGGCAATAAATGGCTATAAACGCATTATGAATTCAATCTGTGTGTGATGAAGAGCACAATGGATGAAACGGCCAACCTACACAAATTCCGCTACATGGCAACTACACAGAAGTACAGTAAAGTGACGACGAAGAGTCGTGACCAATAGATGTCGCTACTTGTTCGACATGTGTATAAGTAAAAAGCGTTGTAAAAATAGACTTGCCAAATTATATTTTAATAAATATAAAATTACAATAATAAATTATGAAATAAATGGTTGGTGCGCCTCTTGTTTTATAAATAGGGTCGATGCTCCTGGAAAATAAATTCCATTTGCTCGCCAATTTAAGAGAATGACGGTGACGGTCGACTGATTTTGCTTACCCAATGCTACTCTATCCCCGTCATGGTAGCTATTTTCTAGCTATCGCTCTATTTTTTTCTTTTTCAGTTAGTACTTCCAGTATTCCTGAGCAACAATTCAGTTAATTGCACAGCTCATAATGGTAATGCTAATTGATTTCAAAAATAGTCCCAAATTATCTCCTATCCAAGCCTATTTCAATTCAGTTTATTATCGAAGATGCATCACCCCGATGTAGGCAAAATAAAAGAGCAATCAATCAAATTCAATCGATCTATGCATAGCGCGCCCATAATATCGTAAATCGGAACACTCAGTGCAAATTATGAAGATAAAAAATATGAAATTGGTGAATTTTCGATTTGAGCTATGAGCTGGAATGTTGATGCGAGGCATCAAGATGTAAATTATGTCAATTTTATTGACAAACGAAAACAAATAAATGCCCTGCAGCTTGGAATGTTTTTTAGTTGTATGTATCGGGGGGCTCAGGGAGTAGTTCTCCGAGGGCACCGGAGAGGTCAATAAACCACCGAAAAGATGAATCCCATTAAAGTTGAATGGGAGCGAGGGCTCTGATCCCCACTTGACTTGAGTAGCCGAAGTCGAAGCCCCTTTCCCAGGCCCTGATAGCGCTTCATTATGACACAATTATGTCAAATTATTCGGATGCCACTTCAGATAGCCCTCCTTGGATATGGCCCCTCGATTCCGACACTTGCAAGTGGTCGCTTTCGCCAGAAATCAATTCAATTATGGCTCAACTCTATTCTCACAGGGATTACGAGTTCTCGGTCGGTCAGGCATCCTTCTGTATCCGCAACAATGCTTTGATTAATTCCACACGAATAACTTTGAAGAGCTGCTGATGATTAGCACGCGGCGCTAAACTGGGACTGCGACTGGGACTGTGGCTGCTGGTGCTGGTGGCGCTGCCATTTGCATACATATGTATGTATTCGTAGTACAGTGTTACCGGTGCCAGATCTCCGTCCCCTATAGCGACAGCATAAAAACTAAACCCGAAGGTGGGACCACCCACATGGCCGTCTGTGCTTTTATTGCTCACAAAGAGTAGCATAAACAAATTCCGCTTCTAACGGAGGCGGCTCGACATCGACATCCACATTAGCGTCGACTTCGACATCGACAGCGGGATCGGGATCGGGATCCGTGGCCACAAAGTCAACGCCACCGCACACCTGATAGGGATGTGGGCATGAGCACATGGGTGGATGATGGACTTCGAGCCGAGGAGTGCGAGTACTCGTGCAGCAGTACATTAAATGAATGCTCTCCTCCCCCCCTGGGGCAGCATTGTTTGTTGTTGCCTGGCGTTTTGCTTATTTGAAGTACGGTTTGAGTTATTTGCGTCAGTTGTGTGGTCTTTCAGACCCAGTCACAGTCCCAGTCCCAGTCCCAGTCGCCAGTTGGCTCCGTGCCTCTCCATTCCTGCCACTCAGACAGAGCGCCCCGGCGTGGCGATTATCAAATTTGTTACCAAACAGTGGTCCACTAATGTGTCGCAAATGTCCCGGGGCGCAAATCAAAATAAACCACTTGGAGGACCGCCACACAAAAACCTCTGTCTAGACGGATCCTGCGGGCAGATGATTCCAATTAGACACCTTGACCACACACCGCACTGGACCAGGACTCACTGGTCTGTCTGCCACAGGGCCACTTGAGTAGGCAGACACGGCCACGTTCTCACATATTTCACTGCGGCTCGGCGTGTCCTGCCGACATCCTCAAGTGCGTCGTGTCCCGTGTCCCGTCTGGCCAGGAGCGCCGACAAGTAGCTCAGGACAGGCGTGATGTTTAAACAAAGCCACACGCATGATTACATGATCATGATCGAGGCAACGGCTCCGCCGGTTTCCGATTGCATGTGAATGCCGCCGCCCCTGAAGGTCGCAGACAGACTCGTATGGCAGGGTATACGGATGCGAGATACGAGGGCACAGAACTGAGGCAAGATCCATACTTTTAAGCTCTTAAGTACAAACGATTCACTTTGGCCAATGTGCGCTTTTCAATTCGATTTCTTTTTTGATTTTTCCATAGATAGATTCGGCACAGATATGGGATTTTTCAATTATTATTGGGGCCTGTGCTGGGCAAGACAAGTACGCGTATTATTAATGTAATAGCGGCTAATTGCGCATTCTCGGCCATTGCCTGTGTGCCCCAACGACCAGCGCCAAAGGCAAATTAGAGCGAAACACTTCAGGCAGCGACTTAAAAGCTTTGATTTTGATGGAACACTTGGGGATCGGCGAGGAATTTATGTCTGCATTCGAGATCATTGCAACGATTGCCGGGGCAATGGGCATTGTCCAAAGTGGGAGCCGCCACCGAGCCAAGCAGATTAGAAAATTTGCAATAATTTCATCCACTTGAGGCCCCCAGACACAACACCCGATGCTGCTCAAGGTTTTGGCC